GCATCCTTCAGCTTCTGCCCTCTTGGCATCTTCAATTTTCGGAAAGCTGTTCCAAGTCTTTTGGCGACATGATTAGTGCAGTCCTCCTTTAGCACAGGAACACCTTCATAGAGATTCAGTTCTGACACAGCAGTATATGCTTTGCTGTCCCCATCAGAAAGGAACGTTGTGAACTGCAAAGGTGTGCTGTAGGAGTCCGTTCTTTTCCATATACGTACTGCAGCCTCGGTTTCCATTGCATGTGCTGAACAGGTTGTTTTTTTCACACACGGGTGTGTGAAATGCTTGCCAAATTTTTTCTTCTCTATCCTCCAGTACCTTGTGCCTGCTGCAGCTGAGGCAATAGTTCGACAACACCTCAAAGTCTAAACACAGCCCTGTGGCAAGGGAAATGGCCGTACCCACACCATTATGGCTTTTGTGGCCTCTTTTTTGCCATGTTCCGTCGAACATAACGGCTACATCTGACGATCCGCCGTCGTCGGCAGTCAGCTGTCTTGCTCGTGCGAGGTTTTCAGCGACGGCTTTCATGGCGGCTGCGTGCACTTTTTTGGCAATGGCCGTGAATGTCTTATGATGCACTGGTTTTGTAACGCCAAGGATCACGCAAAACCGCGCAAGCTGATTGTGTCCAACGCCTATCGCACGCGCTGCGACCACTGATTTTACATTCACGGCGAAGCTGTCCCGTGCGCTGCCGCTGGCGGATGTATCCTCCCTTTCACTGCATGACGCAGACACGCGGCTTGGCGTGTACGTTGATGAAACGACAGTTGTAGCACATGCGTCATTTCGGCAATAAAGTTCTAAAAGCAATGCCAGTCCTTTTCGTTTATCTGCCAATTCTCGAACAGACAACTCGCACCGTCCGCAGTTTGGGCATACTGCGCCACTGACGAGGTTCTGCATCAAGTCCATCTCGCAAATAAATGCTCTGCCGCTCTCACCTTGATGCTCACTTTCGTCGTTGACCATCTCCATTTTTCTCTCTGAAGCACTGACGAAATCATCGACGCTATGGATAAAGGTCGGAGAATCCAAATCGGGTGCTTCGTCGTTGCCGGGGCTAGGCCTAGCAGCAGACGAACCTCCCGTTGCCGGAGCTCTCCGCTTGCGTTTGGTGCGCCTCCCTTTGAACTGGTGCCTCGTCATAAACTTACGTGAACGAAAGTCACGTTTTTCGCCGGAATCCATCGGCACCATGGCAGAGAAAAAGTAACTCTGGCGGTTGTTTCTGCCGTCTCGTCTCGGCAAAAGCAGGAGAACGAAGAAAGAGCGCTCGCGCACGGATGCGTGCCGGAATGCTCTAAACCAATGGCAGCGCTCCAATCATGCCACGTGACTAGAAAGGCCCGCACACCACGCTGGAATGCAGTGGGGAAATGCTTTTTTTTGTTGTATTTTCAGCGAGAATGCCACGCTGCCGAAGTGGGCTTTTGGAAGTGAGGGTTAGGCCTACATGCCCGCGAAATTTCAAGAGGCGGCGATGCGACAGGGCGAAGTGCCGCGCGCGCGAAAATCGGGTAATTTCGCACTTTCGCGAGCTACCGCGAGTGCTTTAATTGTATTTTTCGATAACTTCTAGTTGATTCTCAGCTTTTATTTTTCAATATATTAAGCAGAAGGCTTGGAGGGATACAAAACAAAACACAAAATTGACTTTTTCGAAAAAAATCGCCGTTTTTCGACCCGCATCTCCCCTTAAGGAGCGTCATGCTAGGTTTGTGAAGCGCTCGGTATTCACAGAAGCTACGAGCATTACAAAAATCTTGCGAATAGATGTTAACAATGCTGTCATTTACACATCGCTTGAGAAGGTGGATATGTTGGACATGCGGCTGAAAAGTTCCTGAAGAGCAGGAAAGTGAGTCACAAATGTGTTTTCAGTTGAGAAGTGTGTGTCAGAAGTTTATTTTCAATATGATCCTGAAAATCATGGACAGAAGTACTCTTATACCCGCTCATTCGAGGGTTGTCATGTTTCGACCCCACAGAGATGTCGAAGACAGAAATGTGCCTCGGGAAGCTAAAGTGGAGAAATGTGCCTTGGGAAGCTGAAAGTTGTTCTTAACAGGTTAATTGATAGCAAGCTTTTTTTCTGAGCACAAGAGATATTGTGTGCACAATAATTTCAGTTTTGCCAAGAAAAACAGCATGAACTGCAGAACTCTCTAAGAGACCGTGAACGCCTTGACGTTCTCTTTGTGCACTAATAAAGCGTGACCCGCATTCTCAATATCATGGGAAGTGCTGAAGGTCCTTCTCTTGCTTAGCATAGGCTTCAGTAGGACAAGGTGTCAGCAAGTTGCAGTTGGAAACATGGCAGAGCTCTCGTATATCTCTCAAGTCATCTGCAAAGCTGTGAAAAGCCACGGTGGGCTGCTTAACGTTACGCTGTTGAAAGAACTGAAGTGATCAGTGAGCAAGCGCACACTGCAAAGTGTGCGAAGAACAGAAGAAACAAGCAGGGGTACAGCAGGTAACCTTGAAAAGAAAACTCCAGCTTGAGCTAAAGAACATGCAAGAGAGGAAGCCAAAGCTAAAAAAAAACTGTGAATTGCTTGCTGGAGTCAGCGGATCACTTTTTGGAAGACGTCGAAGCAAGAAATTACATGACTTCTCTTGTCAAGGCCAGCAGTTTTTGTTGTACAGCTAATGAAAAAGAGGCTGAAATAGCTACTCTCGTAAAAGAAATAAGTGCGAAAGCACAGCTCTTTTTTTGAGCCATGTGCAAAAATAAAATAACGCTAAGACTCCTTGAATTTGTCCTGTTTGCAGCCTAAAAATCCTTGAAAACTTGTTGAATTTTCAGCCAAATATTCTGTGCAAACCCTCCTGAAAAGTGTGTGAATAGCTTTATATATGAAGTTTTATTGTCATATCTCAAGTAGTTATCAAATTACTCTGTTACATAATCTGAGGACATAGTCTGCTGGTGGAAAGCCTAGCATTGTAATAAAACATGCCATGAAGGTCCAAGTGGTTTTGATCTTTACTCAAAACAACACTACACTGGATGACATTACCTGAAATTGCCTAATTGTTTCAGTTTTCTTTACAAATAACATCCCCATGAGCTTCATGTATTGCATCAGAACTCCTCGTGCACTAATTATCAGATGCAAAAGCAAAAAACTAAGCCCTAAGCAAGGTAAAGAATAATGCCATCCTGTCAACAAATTTTCAAGGATTAAAAAAACAAAACAAGCAGCATCAAAATTTGTTCAGGCACTGCCACTCTACGCTTTTCACAAGCAACACTATGTCCTCAAAACACACTTAGGAGAAAACGGCTTTCAAAGTTTCACCTTCATAAAAATGCTCCACTTCTTTGTTTTTTTTTAGGATATCTGGATAAATCTTTCAGAGCATGCTCCCTACACTACAACTAGAGCAACTGTGAAGTTTTATAAAGCTGTGTTTTTTACTGCCAGAGTTATTGAGGGACCAAAAAGTGACAAAAAAAAAAATTCAGTTTTCAAAATAGACATATTTGGTTTCTGCAAGTATTTTTCTATTTGCAAATTTTCACACACCAGGAAGTGGTAATTTTTTTTGTAGTGTCATTCTAACTGTCGAGATTCTTGGTGCTGTTAACATGCAGAACCTGCAAGAAAATTGGGAACCTACTTCGGGGCTTTTTTATAACTTGTCGGCACCTGTGTTAGAAGCTGTGCTGCAATTTTATGAGCACCTTTATGAGGATTGCAAAACCTGCACACCATGATTGTTGCTTTTTGAAGAAGCTCTGTGTTTGCCTTTGAAGGGCCGCCCACGCAGCTGCACAGCAGCCAATTAGGTGCTGATAATTACAGAATAGGTAGTTTATAAGACATACAACAAAAAAATGTGTTTTTCAAAGGTCGAGTGTTTTGTTCTCTGCTTTCCAAAGCCGCGTCCCCCCTTATTTATACGCAGTTGGTCTTGTTTTACTGTTCTCGAGTTCGGGGTATTACTTGGGCCGCATGCTTTTATTAGTGCGTAGAGATTGATAGGATGGGCTGTGCTTGTCGCATTGCGTTCCGCAGTTGGTCTTGTTTTACTGTTCTCGAGTTCGGGGTATTACTTGGGCCGCATGCTTTTATCAGTGCGTAGAGGTTGATAAGATGGGCTGTGCTTGTCGCATTGCGTTCCACTTTCGTGTGGGTTAGCGAGCTTGTGCTAACAAGTATTCGTTGCTATAGTCGGTGACAACTTTTCTTGGCACTCAAGGTAAAGCTACAGGGTCAGAGCTCCTGCACATGTAGCACCACGTGAAGTAGTCCCTCTTGGAGTGCATCTTGAAACGCTGTGGAAAGCGACAGGGGTATACAATCAGCATTTCATGAAGACGCAGACACCGCTTAGCATTTGAGGCACACGTAAAAAGGCGGGACCTTCTCGCGCGTTCAAAAACGTGAACCAGGAATAAATTAAAAGAAATACGATTGTCTTATTGGTGTGAGCTGTGTTTTGTCTCAAATGGCTCCACGTAGTAAATAAAGGAGGAACTTTTTTTATATTTTAAGTTGAAAATACGGCCCCGCCGCGGTGGTCTAGGGGCTAATGTACTCGGCTGCTTATCCGCAGGTCACGGGATCGAATCCCGGCTGCGGCGGCTGCATTTTCGATGGAGGCGGAAATGTAGGCCCGTGTGCTCAGATTTGGGTGCATGTAAAGAACCCCAGGTGGTCGAAATTTCCGGAGCCCTCCACTACGGCGTCTCTCATAATGATATGATGGATTTTGGGACGCTAAACTCCACATAACAAGTTGAAAATACGGGTGCTATTGTAGAACTACATTCACTGGCGGTAAGATGCACGTGATTTGCCTCTGCAGCATTTGCTTCAATGCCTAGAAAAGTTGTTGCCGAGTATAATGAACAGTGACTACAAATTTTAGCAGAGTGCTAGGTGTATCGGAAACTGAATGTAGCGGGCCATTTCGCTTGTTTCTAACCTAAGTGTCATGCCACAGAAGCAGTTGGAGTCTCTTTGTAGTTATTCGTTTTTTTTCAGAACACCTTGAAAGACCTGTTTGGCACCGACTTTGACCTGGCTATTGCCGAGAAAGGCGAAGAGGCCGTGAGGGAAGACAGGCCAGCTGATTCGGAGAGGACCGAGAAGTTTTCGTCTGTGGAGTTTGAAAAGGTAAATATGTGCTGCTTACGGTGTTGCTTGCTGAAGCTTGCTTGTCCATGGGGTGGTAGGGGAGTGGTGAGAGTGATAGTTTACATAATAGTTGAGCTTGATTGTTATGAGGAGTGTTATAATAAAGACTGAAACTTAACTTCGAGTTAGAACAGTTGTCTGTGTAGCTATTCTCTTTTTTTTAGTTAACTTCAATTAGTGTCCAGTTCTGCGTCTCTCCAAGAGACAGAATCTTTGAAAATTTCAAGTATTCACACTGCCTTTGTTAGACTGGTGTTTCAGAATTTCTAATGTGAGACTAGTAAACGTGGCCTCTACAATTTGAGTGTCATTGTAACAGGGATGCCTGACATGAACATATCTGCTATGCTTAGTATCAGTAACATGTTGATGTCTGCAATAATTTCAACATTCTCACTTTCAGAGGATGCCGTAGAATGATGCTCTAGAATGTGTATGTTGCCATTCTATGCATCATATCTCATGAGGGCTATATTCTGTGCTGGCAAATGAAAATTGGTTCCAAGCTTCACATTTTTCTGTAACTGTCTTTGTACTCTGAATCCTTGGCCTCAGGGCATTGCTTTGAAGCTTTACATCTTTTCTGTAACTGTCCTTGTGCATTGAATCCTTGGCCCCTGGGCATTGCTTGCAATCTTGCCTGATGCTCCTTGCAGGCACTTGGCATGGCAGAGGAAGAGCTGGACGTCCAGGCTGCACACACGGCTCGTGCCGAAGCAGCTGCTGAGCTGGCCGAGTTCGACGAGTCCATCCCGTTAGACACAGACAGCCGAGACGAGGACAAGTCCCAGGCAGAGGAGGAGCTTGACAAGCTCATGGATCAGGCAAGTGCACCGCATATCCTTCCTCAACTTTTGTTGTGCAGTCGAATCCCGCTACATTGAATGCTGCTTCAGTGAAATTTCTGTTACAATGAAAAATTCTTGATTCCTCGTCGGCAGTTCGTTGGAGTCTATGCGTAAACATTCTCCCCATGATGAACAGTTTTCCGTCTGCCGTTTCACTTCAACGAGATTTGACGATGCGATTCCATGCTTGGATATTTAATGACGTGCAGTAAATACTATTTTGAACTTGATGCATTTTCAGAACATAAAAATACGCCAACAAAGTCTAAAACACTAAGGCGGCACTACCAGAAACCGCAGCTGTTTACTAAGCAAAGGGGGCCGCCTTGTTTCGATAGCAATGGCAATGAGTCGCAGACAATTGCCAGTCGCAGACAATCTGAAGCTGAAACTCAGTTCGTCAGTTCATTGAGTCCAATTGTGGAACGAAGCTGTAGCGAGAAAGAAAGAAATGCGAGACAACATCCTGAAGGTGGCCGACGTGGCGGCGCCAATCTCGCCTCACTATTCCTTGGGTAAAGCCGAGCGGCGGCGGCTGCCAGCATCTGAAACGCCGAGCACGAAAAGTCGCTCAGTTGCTTCGAGCTAGGCATGAGTTGCACGCAAGAGGTGTGGCGCGGTAGTTGGTGAACTATATTAGAGGTTACAGTAGGAACGTTACCTTGTTTGTAACTCTTTAAAATAGTGGACAGTCTATGTACATACCATATTCACTCGTGTAATCCTCGCACTCGCATACCGTATTTACTCGCATAATCCTCGCACTTTTTTTGCCGGAAAACGGATGCAAAGTTGGGGGGTGCGAGAATTACGCGGGGAAAACTTTCCACGAAAATGTACAGAGCGAAAAAGAAAACAAAGTGGCCGCAAATCGGGATTCTCACACCACCAATTAACAGCAAGCTTTAAGAAGTACTAATTAAAACTTACCTCAACAATAAAAGCAGTGGTTCAACACAAGGCAAGATTTATTTGAGAGACAAAAAGTGGAAGCAGATAGTCGAGAATTAGAATGCCATACACAAAGCTTGTGGGCGTTGCGGGTGTCCGCAGTTACCTTCGTCCGCAGTTACCTTCTGAAGAAATAAAGTTTACCATCAATCCCAGCTTTAGGCATACGGCAGGCCCAACGCGTCTTGGTGGCTTTCAGCTGCCGTCACCAGTAGCGAACACAAAGCTCGTAGACTCTGAAGGGCCTAACGGTGGCCCTGTTGCCGTTGTCTAGTGCATGATCTATTACTTGCAACTTGAAGCAGCCGTGTAGCTTCAGTATCGCCCCATAACGTGCCAAAATTACCGACACAAAAAAAAATTGCAAGAAACCAACTACAAACCTTATTTTAACTAACCCCCATATTACTAATTCCTCGAAATAATGGAAGTTCTTCTATTTTCTGTCATTGCTCCATAGAAGCACATGTATTTGCGACCTCGATGTAACAAAGTAACAGCGGGAGACAACCATGATAAAACGATTTTTTCCCGCGGACAATCTAGGAATTTTTCCTCATTTTGGCATTTTGGTACGAGCATGCATCTTTCGCGGCTGCCCGGCCGCCGACAAAGCGCGAAGCGGCGGCGGCACGCCCGGGAAGGCGGGTAGTTGCCGCCGTTCTTGCCGCCGCAGGCGCATGCGTGGGTGGCCCCCCCCCCCCCCTTCCCTACTGCCAATAAAAAAAGAAGACTACTTATGCGCGTTGTCAGTGCCTTGTTTTTAGTTAGTGTCATATGTGGGGCTGTGCATGGAGGACGCTTTCCCGAATAGTTTTTCGGGGTATTCGTGTCTAGGTTAGTGTCGTTTGCTCTTCGTTTTCAACACAGTGCATGCGTGCATAGTTTCACTGCGTGCGCATGGTGTGACCCCCAACGATATTCAGCTTTGCTTTTTTTTCTATTGCGATAGCAATTATATGTACAGTCTCGTCTGGGGTTTTGCCGCCGCCGCCGTCATTAACCGTAACATGTAAACGGATATCTATATATATGTATACGCGTACTTTGCCCCGCGGGTGGGGGAGAGGTGGAGGCGTAGATGCTTGTGCGCGAGTGCTTATCCTGTGGTGGGGAGAATTGCGCGCCTTCGACTTTGACCAGAACGAATGCCTTTCCGGGTGCCGCTCACTGGACAGGCACCGTTTGTGAAAAGAGTGCGCTTTTCAAACACAGTGAAGTAACAATTTGGGCACCTGTTAGTTCGCACTCATATTTGTACATGTGATTACGTTTCGTGCCTCAATTTTGTGTCGAGCAATAAACAATGTTAGTTCGCTCTCGTCCTATGTATCTTATTTTCAGGCGTCATTTGTGCATGAGCAGCGTGCTGCATGTTTCGATATGCTTGCCGTTCTCAGCACTATATTCGAAGTTGTTGCTATCGCATTTATTGCTTCGTCCTTGCGGCAAAACTGTGACTTTTCCTAATTTCGGACAACCGTGTTGTCACCACCGAGGGGATGTCAGATAAGACGCTGGTGGAACCTCTCGATCCAAGACAGGTGATGGCAGATCTTTGGGGGTCGACTCATCACGCTGTTCCGTCTTGCGCCGCGCCGCGAGTTTGCAGGCTGGTAGCTTTCGCGGTTAGCCAATTAGTTCTGGCAACACAACGATGTGATGAATGCAATGCAATGAATGCGATAGCAAGAAATTATAATGTTATAAGTAGTAAGGCTGGCAGCCAACTCTTTTGGGTCCGATATCATGGAACTCCTACAAAACGCTGGTGTGAGCAAATACGGCCGCTCCAGAGAGAAGCGCTCCTTTCACACAGTTGCTCCGCGTTGAGATTGCACTGATACTCGCCGAGATAGGAAGCGTGCCAGCGATCGTGATCGCTCTCAAAATCCAAGTTCATTATTGCTACTCGAGAGACCCCCCACCCTTCCTGCGTGTCTTTATGCTTGTTCAAGAGGGGTGGTTTACTTTTTGTTTGAGCATTGAACGGCAGTTCTAACATGCGAGAATTGTTATCTTATGCACTTTCCAGGCGATAGGGATGGGCCGACTCAGTTGATCTTTGCTTCAGCAGCACTCGCATGCTTTTACCTGCTCGTGAAAGTTCCAATGCGCGGGGGCATGTTATGAATTTGTACTTGTTACGGAACATGGCAGTGACGGCAGAAACCCGCCGAGAGTTTCTATTTGATTGCTATCGCAATAATAACGCAGTTTTTTACTGTACATTGAGTGTTTTAGGTTAGCTCTGCCTTCAGTCCCCCTTTTGTTTAATTTACGCATTTACTTTCCGAATTTGCGTACCGAACCTTCATATAACGAAATCCTCTTTATAACATATTTTATAACATATAGGGGGTCGAACCAGTGACTTCACGAACAGCGACGCACAACACTAACCACTATGCCACAGAGCGCGTGCAGCCAAGAGTGCTAACGGCAAGCCATTTATATAGACTATATCATCATCATCATCATCAGCCTGACTACGTCCACTGCAGGACAAAGGCCTCTCCCATGTTCCGCCAGTTAACCCGGTCCTGTGCTTGCTGCTGCCAATTTATACCCGCAAACTTCTTAATCTCATCTGCCCACCTAACCTTCTGTCTCCCCCTAACCCGCTTCCCTTCTCTGAGAATAAAGTTTGTTACCCTTAATGACCAGCAGTTATCCTGTCTACGTGCTACATGTCCGGCCCATGTCCATTTCCTCTTCTTTATTTCAACTATGATATTCTTAACCCCCCGTTTGTCCCCTAATCCACTCTGCTCTCTTCTTGTCTCTTAAGGTTACACCTATCATTTTTCTTTCCACTGCTCGCTGCGTCGTCCTCAATTTAAGATCAACCCTCTTTGTAAGTCTCCAGGTTTCTGCTCCGTAGGTAAGTACTGACAAGGTACAGCTGTTATATACCTTCCTCTTGAGGGATAGTGGCAATCTACCTGTCATAATTTGGGAGTGCTTGCCAAATGTGCTCTACCCCATTCCTATTCTTCTAGTTACTTCAATCGCGTGGTTCGGCTCCGCGGTTATTACCTGCCCTAAGTAGACATAGTCTTTTACAACTTGAAGTGCATTATTACCTATCTCGAAGCGCTGCTCTTTTCCGAGGTTGTTGTGCATTACTTTCGTTTTATGAAGATTCATTTTAAGACCCACCTTTCTGCTCTCCTTGTCTAACTCCGTAATCATGAGTTGCAATTCGTCCCCTGAGTTACGCAGCAATGCAATGTCATCGGCGAAGCGCAGGTCACTAAGGTATTCTCTATTAACTCTTATCCCCAACTGTTCCCATCAAGGCTTGTGAAAACCTCCTGTAAGCACGCGGTAAATAGCATTAGGGGAGATTGTGTCCCCCTGCCTTACACCCTTCTTGATTGGTATTCTATTGCTTTCTTTATGAAGCACTATGGCAGCAGTTAATCCCCTGTAGATTTCTTCGAGGATGTTTATATATACTTCATCGACGCCCTGATTCCGCAGTGTCTGCATGACGGCTGATATTTCTACTGAATCAAACGCCTTCTCGTAATCTATGAAGGCTATGTATAGTGGTTGGTTATATTCTGAGCATTTCTCTATTACCTGATTGATAGTATGAATGTGGTCGATTGTTGAGTAGCCTGTTCGAAATCCTGCTCGTTCCTTTGGTTGATTGAATTCTAATGTTTTCTTTACTCTGTTAGCAATTATCTTTGTAAATAGCTTGTATACTACAGAGAGTAAGCTTATCGGCCCGAAATTTTTCAAGTCCTTGTCATCTCCTTTCTTATGTATTAAGATGATGTTAGCGTTCTTCCAAGACTCTGGTACTCTTCCCGTCAGGAGACACCTCGTAAACAGGGTGGCTAGTTTTCCTAACACAATCTGTCCTCCATCTTTCAGCAGACCTGATGTTACCTGATCCTCACCAGCAGCTTTGCCTCTTTGCATGCTCTCCAAAGCTTTTCTGCTTTCTTCTATCATTACTGGTGGGGTGTCATCTGGGTTACTGCTAATTCTTATGGTATTAAGGTCGTGGTTGTCCCAGCTACTGTACAGATCTCTGTAAAACTCCTCCGCTATTTTAACTATCCTATCCATATTGGTAGTTATTTTGGTAGTTATCCTATCCATATTGGTTAGTTATTGCTGGTTATTGGTATATACTATATACAATTTAGCAGCTCTCGGAGCTCTGCAGACTCTGGGCGTTTTTGTTATCAATAGCGAGATGGCGCGATGAGCGTGCTTTAGGGCCTGCTCCTCATCGCCTCTCACGTTGCGGAAAGTGCCGCCTCACCTCCATGCGGCGTGGTCTCTCTTACGCGCTGCGCGCTTACCAGACTCGTCTTTTGAGAGAGCAGGAAGGTCACTTAGCGCTGCCACGGCCCCATTTACGAAAGGAGCACGCTGCTCACACACGAAGCAGAATTGAGACAGTAGCTTGCGCTTGTCCTGTGTAAACTTGATCGCTCGTTTCGGGCGGTTTTCTTTCTGTTTATACAGTGCGCTTTAAGGGGGGTTGGGGAGACCGAAAGACGGGTTGGGAAATTGAAAAATCTCGAAAAAACTCGTTTTTTTTATTGCGTTTTTGAAATCTACAGGTACTAGTGCACTTATACCGTGAATTTCATGCCTATATTATCATTATTTTAGCCACTAAGACTCATTATACAATGCTTTTTAGTTAAATCTGAGCTGAAATCGACGTTGAAATCATACATTTTTTGTGACTTTCCCCTGTCCTTTCATGTGTGCCAGCATGGCCCGCTTGGTCTCATTTCAAATTCCCGCCAGAATGGGTCCAATACAACCATTGGAAGCTTAGAAAATGAGCAGCAAAAAGAAGTATCTGAGCGCTTTCCTATTCGCTGCTTCGCGCACGTGACTTGAGCTTGCCTCCCTATTGGTGGAGACTCCCGGCTTCGTATGCTCCGGGTATTCGCTGCTTCGCGCACGTGACTTGAGCTTGCCTCCCTATTGGTGGAGACTCCCGGCTTCAGTCTGCTCCGGGTATTGAGGCGCGCGTTCATGCGTGCCGTTTTGCCTCAGCGTCAGCGGAGAAGTTTCACGATGTCAAATTCTGAGCGCTAATTCTGTACGTGCCACAAGTTTGGCGCTAAAAAGGTGCGACGGACACTAGTCGCAAATTTCAAGAAACGCTTCATGATGCCGCAAAACCTCTCGAGACGCTACACTTTCCGCCTCCCATGGCAAAGCCGTCGATGCTACCACGGAAGGCCTAGATACCACATCAGTTGTCACAGAGCCTGTGCAAAGTCTGTCAGCCGCGGAGCCTTCAAGCAGCTGTCGCGTGCGTCTAGATACTATTTATCGGCAGCAATCTGACTTGGAAGAGGAGCGAGCGAAAGCCGAAGATAAGTTATCGGAGTTGTCCGCTGCAGCGACGGAGCGGAAACGTGGATTCGTGGTTGACGGTGCCCACGAAGCAGCTCGGCCGCCTGATGAAACCACGTTCACAATTATAGATTTGGACACAGTGAACAGCGCTTCGTTGGCATTTGCATAGTGCAAGGTATGCAGCGGAGAACTGCAGATTGTCCGCGACGACCGGGAATTTGGACTTGCCGTGAAGTTGCGTTTTGTGTGTTCGACCTGTAGCGAGACTGCGTCGTTGTGAAGCTCGCTGCGCGTACGTAGCGATGAACGTATGACACCTTTTACTGTGAACGTTTTGGCCTCGCATGCCGTGCAGGCAACGGGGAACAGACAGACCGCGTTGAGTGATGTGTTCTCGTTGATGGGCATCAGCCGTCGGGTCTTCACACGAAAACGTGGCAGCACTACGTGAAGATGGAAGTTGGCACCTGCGACCGATGGTGCTGCACGCAATTTGACGAGTGACTGCGCGTGGTCGGTTCGCGAACTTTACGCCGAACTTAATATAGGCCACATGGGAAACATCGCGGTATCGTTAGATACCGCGATGTATGTATGTATGTACATGGAGGACTCGCGGTCATTCATCGCATATTGGTCTCGGCCCGGTCATAGAATTGTTCAGCGGGCTAGTGCTTGACTTCGTTGTTTTGAACAACTTTAGCGCTGCATGCGAGTCGGGCCCAAAGGAAGGTGACCCTTCTTATGCAGCGTGGAAGGAACATCACCACTTTCAGAAAAACAGTGACAAGAAGGCTAGGGAAATGGAGGTTGAGGCTGCCCTCATCCTCTTCAGGAGGTCACTTGAGCGGCACAATCTGCGCTACACCACGGTGCATTGCGACGGGGACAGACGCAGTTACCTTGCGCTACAAGATGATAAGGTTTATGGGTATATCCCAGTGGAAAAAGAGGACTGCATTAATCATGTCCAAAAGCGTATGAGCACTGCTTTGGGCAATTGGATTGCAAAACACAAAGGCCCTGGCCTTGAGAGTCTTGGGGGAAAGGGCTGCGTGACAAGAGATCTGATCTCCAAGCTCACCAATTATTATGGTTGGGCTCTGAAGACACACAGTGGTGATGTTGATGCTATGCACACAGCAGTGATGGCCATATATCATCACATCACGGCCAGTGATGACGCAGCAAACCACATTCTGTGCCCACCTGGCCCGAATTCCTGGTGCAAACAAAATGCGGCAAAGGCCAAGGGGGAGCCCATTCCCCAAACATCGTCGAAAGCTGCTTCCACATGTCTGCCAACCTTTACTTCCCATTTATGAGCACTTGTCAGACAGAAAGCTGTTGCAACGATGCCAGCGTGGGAAAACCCAAAATAACAACGAATGCCTGCATTCAATAATCTGAGCGCTGGCAGCAAAGGAGCGACATGCTTCGCTATTCGCGGTGGAGACAGCTGTGGCAGAAGCAGGGCTCAAGTTCAATGCAGGTAATAAAAAGGCATCAGAAGACATTATGAAAAGCTGAGCCTAAACACCAGCTGGCAAAGCCGCAGCCGCATGGCTGAAAAGGATCAACGGTGCACGGCAGCATCAGCCAAGAAGCGACAAGCGACAAAGCGCCACACAGGGACTCATAGTCAGAAGGACTATATGCGCTGTGCATACTGAGCATTTTCAAGTGCAGTTATGTAAATGAATGAGTTTTGTTTTTCTCAGTTTTCTGAAAATGTGCTTTTTGGTGACTTTACTAGTTTGTCGGGTTGATATCTTGCAATTCGAGAACAGCCAGAGCAATATTTTTTTGTTAACATAAAGCTTAATTAGTGTATTACAAAGCGCTGAGAGCGAAATTTCCATTTGCTGCCTATATAAGTTTAAAAGGTATTAAATTTCTTTGTATGTGATAGCCATGACATGACTCCTCAACTTTCATCATCTGCAGAATCACTAGTTTTTCTTTAATTTGAAATCTGCTTACAGTATTGCACTTTTTGATAAGCACTTTCTTTTCTATTGTCTCCGAAAACAGTAAAGTGTGGGGGGGTGCTAACATCCCTTGTTAAGTTTGCGCTGCGTGGCACACGTGCCTCGCCCAAAAGCCGCATTTTGGATTACATCAACACTGCAGTAAGCGGCATTGTGTTCGTGTTGATCACCACTATGATCATCATAGTTGGTAGAGTGGTAGTGCCGGCGGTGACCCCTAGCGGAAGGCAAGCCTTGGCGATGGGTGAGAGTTGAGTGAGTCTTTTTTGCGTGTGGCGGTTGCCGTGAATCCTCTCTAGCGTGGGTCCCCGGTGCGTGGCACCGCAGGCTGCGCGTCGGGGGCCCTCGTGGTAAGTCAAGCGTTGGTGACGACGCCTTGGGTGTGTTATTGTGTTTGTCATGTTATTGTGTTTGTTTTGGAGTGTATAGTAATATTGTGTAAGGATGTCCTAGCGTGTTGATAACGATTGGTGTATCTATTCGGCAGACGATATCGTCGTTCTAAATTAGTTAAATAAATGTACGTTGTTGTTGTTTGGTTTGTACCGGCCGCGTCTTCTGTGTTCGTTCGCTCCAAGAGCTTGGTGTTGCCCGCCAATTCAAGACGCCACAAGTGACGGAATTGTGTATCTTCTAAATTAATTGACCTACAATAAAAAGTTTTTGCATATTTGAAATTGGTAGGAAAAACTACATAAGCATGTATATTTTAATGATGTTTGGTCTACAAATACAGAAAATATCTCCACACACCATGTCCCCCCTTAAGAGGTGAGCTCTGACAGTTGTTAGTTCCCGTTCATCCTTTCTATGCTCATTTCGTGCGTGCTTGCTGCTTGAGGGGCGCGCTGCAAGTTTCGAGATGCAGCTCCTTGCCGTTCTTCACGTGACTTTGCAATTTGCCGCTGTAGCAATCATTCCTTCTGCCTTGTGGCGAAACAATGAACAATAAACGCTCAACTACCTCTGTGAAAACACGCTTTGCTCTCGTGTTTTACGGATCCCTAGAAAGAGGGATCAGGCACTTTTTTTTTTTTTCGATTTGTCTGGTTCGTGTCCAAGTAACCAACTTTATGGTAAGCTCAGAGTTGGCACAGCTAAGGTGCGAAAGCTGACACCATGGTGGTGCAACACCTGTGGAAGAACAGTCACCAAGAGCAGCCAGTCAATACTGTGCTCAAATGAAGGAACAACTGTTGTTCTGTTTGAGTGAGGTTGGGCTCGTGCAAATTTAGACAAACCTGCCTACTTATTCACATTGGTAGGGCAAGCCATGCCCAGAAAGCATACACAAAGAAAGATGGATGCAGGAAACAGATAAGCTGAGCCTTGTGCATTCGTCCTTTGTCCACATGCATCTCTCAGCATGTGCTTCACAGGTGTAGCTTGAGATTTGGCCTCGCCAATGAAAGGTCGGTTCCTAACAGTGTGTGTCCTTATTTTCTTTGCAACAGCTTACGCCTGTGGAGAGATATGCCATGCAGTTCCTCGAGTCTCTTCAAGAACCGCTGACACTTGAACAGTTGAAGCAAGCAGAGGTGAGTGGATCTGGCGAGCACGTTTCCAACATGAAGGGCATTTCGTGGGAATAATGTCTATACAATGCCTATGGGCTGATTGAAAAATATCTTATTTCATCTCCTCTATTCAGTAAAACCTCACTTATACATGCCTGCTAGGATTGCAGCAGGGGCGCTAAACAGTGTAGTAGCAGGAACTACATTGTACAAATTTACATCTCTAGACATGTGCCGCCAATAAAGAAATGACCACAGTGCAACAGCAGATATTGCCTAAAGTAACCACGACAGAGCCTTTTCTTTCTTCCTCTCACTTCATTTTTGTGCGGTTTAGGGTTTTTTTAGCTTATGGAAGGTTGTGTTCAGTAGCGTAAATAGCTGCCTGTTCATATTTGACAGCATGTGGTGTGCACACAAGCATGGACACGGGGAAACAAGGTGTTGTTCCTTCTTTTTCTCTGTCCACATTTGTGGGTGCACGGTATTATGCCAAATATGAAGGTTGTATGGTAGGAAATTGCCTTGTCGCCCGATTCACGGTTGAAAAATGTTGCGATGTGCACATGTTGCAGGAGGAGATCGAGGCTCAGAAGAAGGACTGGGAGCTGGGCCGCCTCAAGGCCATCAAAGAGGAGGAAGAGCGGCGCGCTGGCTACCGAGACGACGAGGAGGCTCCTGCCCTGGTGTACTCGCGCGAGGATGCCTACACGCAGGTGCCTAAGAGTGGTCGCGAGCGCAGATCTTCACGTGGTGGTAGTGGTGGTGTAGGGGGGGCCAAAAGTGGGGTTGTGGCTGCACGTCAGGTGAACGGCACGGCAGCCACGCCCAAGCGCGTCAGTAAGCGGCGTGCGGCGGCTGCCGTCTCTACAACAGATAAAGGTCCGCAACAGCAGGAGGAAACGACTGTGCCCCACAAGAAAAAGCGAGCATTGTCTCCTGTGCACAATCACCGTCATAACGAGCTGTTGCCACTAGTACAGCCAGCGACGACACACCAACGTACCCGGCACAAGTTGGGCGCAGCTCCTTGCAAAGCATTACATTCTTCCGCAGCAGGAAAAGAGGAGGTACGGCCACAGGTGGCCAATAAGCATCCTCCGGAGCATAAGAACCAGGTCGCCAAAAAGATCAAGGTCGCCGATAAACTCCACTCGCTAGTCTGTCCGTCATCTGCATCATCCCTCTGCTGATAAGACAAGGGTTACAGATAGGACTGTGGCCGCCATCAAGCCCCCAGCCACTATAACTCTGGACAAGGCAAAGGCTGCTGACAGGAACATCAGGCCTCCTCCATCAGCCGATAGGGTGCAGGTTGCCGACAAAAATGTCTCGGCCACTAAATTGCAACCTCCTCCAGCCACAGATAGGATTAAACCGTTGGATAGAAATGCATCTGCCATCAAACCGCCACCTCATTCCACGACAGAGAAGATTGAGCGCGGAGAGAAAGAGCTGTCTGTCGAGCACACACTATCGGTAACGAAGGTTTTGGCGGCAAGTCTCGCAGAGAAATCTAACGTTCCGGCTGAGGCGGTGTTCTGACCTGCCAGTAAAGCGCAGATGCTAGAAAAAGGGCTGCGTATGGGCAGCAAGGGCACGATGCCCACCAAAAGAGTTAGAGTTTCCGAGTGAGTGGGCAATCACGTTGATGACGCCCCCATCACTGAGAAGCCCCACACATCCAACAGTCCAAGTAGGACCAAAGTCCAACCACCAAATTCCTCTGGTGGCTCACCTACAGTGTTGAAACCATTCTCGAATCCCAATCTGGTAATTCGAACAAGGAGAGCGCGTGCGGCCGAGACCAATTCGGAAGCTGTCACGCCCAAGGTCGTAAAAACTGAGCCAATGCAGCTGCCACCGGAACGGCCAGTTCCGGTGTTCGAGTCAGTTAAGGTCAAAGTTGAAGTGCCAGAAGAGGCTGCAGAAAAACAAACTGTATCTGATGAAGTTGTCACAGATCCTGTGCTTGACGAACATCGGGAGATTGTTGAAGAGATGATTGAAGAAATAGTAGTTGATGAGAGTGTTGAGGAAATGTCCGTCGATGTCATTGAGGAAATGGCCATCGAACAGAATGTCGATAGTTTGGCTGTGGAGGAGATGGGAGCGCAAAAGGGTATTGAGGTGGTGGCTGAAGGCATTGTTAAGGATGAGACAGCAGAGCAGGTTGTGTTGGCTGGAGGTGAGGAGGAGATGGCCCTCTCCGAGGAGTACAATCTAGAGGAAGAGCAGGTCTACGAATTCGTGCTGGATCCAGAGCTTTGTGAGGAGATAGGACCTGACCTTCTTGCTGAATTTGTGTCCAAGCTGACGCCCGAGCTGTTTTCACGGCTAGCGGCAGGTGAGATGGACGCTGAAGGCGGAGAGGGGCCCAATACGAGAGCTCTAGAGATCTGTGTCGAGAAGGCGGAAGAAGAGAAAGGCGTTTTACAAAGTCTTGTTGAAGTTCAGGAGGTGGAAGAAGAGAACGTTGTGGAGGTACCTGTGGAGGGTGATGAAAATTTCGCAGATGTGGATGTCCCTATTGAGGAAGAACATGCCGAGGTCATTATAGATGATGGGGAGCCAGAGGTTGCAGATATTGAGCTTGACTTGGATCCGCTGGTTATACCTGTGGTGGGCGAGGTAATCATGGATAGCCTAGGTCCAGACTTGGTTCCGCCACCCGCTGAGACCACAATCGTAATAGAGTCCACCGCTGACTATGACGACGAGGTGGTACCTCGATCTAAAACGAGGGGAAGCAGTGGCCGCTCTCGGCGGCGGCACCGGCATTCGAGAAGTTCGAGACGTAGCAGGGAGTGAACAACTGTGCAAGGAAAAAAAAAAAAAAAGATTCGTCGGTGTTCTTGACTGTTATCAAGGAGCATTTGTTGTTCATATTTCTTTTGTGTATGTAAGTGAAAAGAAGATTGAAGATTACCTTGAGGTCGGGGAGGGTTGTTGAAAGAGGAAGGGTTGGGGCAAATCATGAACTCACTCGGTAAAGTTTTTCATATGCCCATTAGGTTATTATTGTTTTCTCTTTTGTAACTAGCGCGGGTATGTGTGTGTTCCACGTTTGGAGGACAGTTCAATTTTTGCGGCACGTGTGATGTGGTAAAAAGTGTGAAGGACTCTGTAAATCTTCGGAAATTTTAGAAGAAATAATTTGGGGGAGAAAAGTGTGGCAGCAGCAGCGGATGCCCTTTTGCAAACTGGCAGAGCAAGCTGGGTTTTCGGAGTCGACGTGGTGGGGAGGTGGTTTAGTAAGTTGGGTTGGCACTGAGGAAAGCATAGATTGATACATTCGTTAATGGATATAACATGTGCTCTCGCTACTTATGCCGGCAGCTCGTTTTCTTTCCAGTCTGTCATGCCACTTCATATTCTCGTTTTAGTTAAGCGTTCCTCCTCTAATCATGCTTTGCAAGTTGTGTAATTCTTTCCATCTACAGAGTGTGTCCTTCAAGATACGATGGCGACAGAATGAATGGGCGTGCACTCGGTGGCTGCGTGCACAGCACGGATTTTGTTTTTGCAGTGCTGTGTGCACGCGCTGACTGTTATGGCTTGTTTTGTGCAGTGTGTATGTGTATTCATCACATTGTCAAAAATGTCCCCCTTGTTTACATTTTGCCGGCCTCGTTTGTGCTCCCCCCTCTTTTTGTCCCCTCCCCAATCTGTTTTGCTATTTATGAGCAAAGGGCACAAAATGTCACCACCACCACCTTTTTACGTTTTTCTCTTCACCTGTTCCCCCCCCCCTCTTTTTTTTTGTGGCTGAGAGATGGTCGTTGAGAGGACGAAAAATAAATAAAAACTAGAGCGCAAAAGCATGTTCAATAAAAAAAATGATGCACAATTTCTCTTCGCCTCTGGTGTGTCTCAATTCTTGGGAGAGAAGGAGAGAGGTGTTGAGCACCCTTCTCAGGTTTTGGTGTCGCACTGTGCCACTCTTGCTCCTAAATGCAGCATTTCTTTTGGTAGAGTTGGCCGCCAGGTTTTATTTTTTCTATTTTCTTTTTCTCCCCACACCCTATCTACTACAGCTGTTTGTTTTTATATTGCAGCATGCTTCCGCTTTCCCATGCCCAGATAGGTTATCATTTAATTGCGCCGTACAGCCTAATTTTCTTCACTTTCATTTGCAGTACACATTCGGCCTTAGCATTATTCTGACGACGGTCTTGCTTCCGTCATTTTTCTTTGGGCCAGCTCTTATAATTTGGAGCAGGGAAATTTTTTTTTTTGCTCTGTATTATCTGTTCGATCCCACTCTGCTTGCTTTTGGGGGGCAGAGCGAACATTCTGCACTTTTTTATCAACATTGGCAGAAATTGATAAATTCACAGGTGTATGTTATTCCCCCTGTATTTATTTTTCTGATACTTTTTTTATTGTCTGGCACCAAAACTTGAAAAGATGGCCGGGCCATGGATCAGTCCACCTCTACCAAGAGATGAGATGCATTTGGGTGCGAAGAGCAAGATGTGCGTGCGCTTGTGCATTGGCCTTTCCTCACTTCCAGCTTGACTGTCATTGCTGCTTACTCGGTACTCGTTGAAAGCCCTGTAAATCTTGGGCTTGCCCTTACCGTTGTTACGATGTAGTTACGATGTAGTGTGATACCAGTACTGTGCAGTGTTGCTTGGAGGAAGGAAAAGGCCTTTTGCTTTACGATAGTGCTGTAACTAGAAATTCTGTGGTTGGCAATTTTTGTTGAGCTCTGAAGAAAAGTAATTTCATGTAAGCATGAAACACATTGTACAGACAACCTCCTTTCTTTGCTATCAAGTGCGCTAGACGATAACCTGCTTAGTGCAGCTGAATTTAAGGCAGCCATTAAAATCACTCTTGTCAGCCAGGGAGGAAGGATAGGTGCTGCTCTCAGCAGTTCTAGGCTACTTACGGCTGTTGAAATATATGTCTTCTTGGAGATTACTAAAAGCCCCTAGCTGAAAATATTTTTATTTTGCCAGAGCTTCACTGAAGTGGTGCATGCCAGAACTGCTAGGGGTATTCCAGCTTCAGGCAGTGAAAACACCCTGCAAGCCAGAACTTGCCTAGCATGGCTGTGCAAGCAAGCACCATTGAATTGCAGTGGGTGCCCTACCTGCTGAACAATATGTGGGCCAGAATTTTTCTAATGTTGCACTGAAAAGTGGTGTATGCTAGAGTCGATAGGACCAGTACTCCACTAATTGGTGAAAGGAGAAGTTCACTGCAAGGGAAGAAAATATTCTTGCAAAATTTTGTGTAGTAAAGTCCGCTTAGTTGGTGTGTCGTATTATAGGATAGACAAATGGAAAATTAAAGCGAAATTGAGGCTCAAGGTAATTGTGCAAAGCCTTTCTGAAGGACGTTATAGCTACAACAGAGTTACTGCGAGTGTCATAACTTTTGTGCATTTTTCCAATCTGTTGCTGGGAAGCAGATGCAAGATTTCCAAACGTCAGCACATTACCCTCACGGCAGCTTTGAAAGAGTGAAATGCAAGCATGCATATGTTTGCTGGTGTGCCATAGGGATGCCACCAGATATTGCTGTATTGTAAAGAAAAGATTTGCTATCATGTGGGTGTCATTTGGCTTGTATGGCAGATACTTATTAAAATAGTCTTAGAAAAGCAAGAATGGCAGAGTTTAACATGGTCAATAAGACCTCTGGTGCTTTGGATAATCATCTGTGAAATTTTTGAATGGGCAAGCTGAATTCAGATCATCTATCT